GATTTAAAAATAAGTCTTGAAAGTTCAGTAAAGAAAATCCAGAATGGCGAGATTGTCTTACTATGGTAAAGTGTGCTAGTGAAAACTGTTTCATCCAGCACAAGCCATTGGATGGAAAGTTTGAGCTTCCAATTCAAACAGTCATGGACCAAGAAGAATACAAAAATTTCATTGCAAATGTTAAAGAGAAAAAGTATTCAAATATACCTAAAAGAAACTTGCAAACAAAAAATGGAATAACTTCAAGTGATGATGAAGATGACATTATGGATCTAGAAGAGATGGAGGCTCCAATCAAGAGAAAAAGATTCAAAAAGAAAACAAGTCTCCAAGAAGAAAAAGAAAGAGTTGCTAGTGACGGAGGCCAGTCTGATGATTATTCAGACAAAAGAAGAATTGAAAATGCTGATAAAAATGATGATCCAATCGATGAGAAAAGATTTTCACAAAATCTGACTCAAGTGAAAAGTATCAGAGACTTAAAGTAAACGTAAACCAATTGCTGGAAAAGAAAAAATTGATGACTCCTTTAGATGTTTATTCAACTCTATCTTCAGTTATTGATATCATTGCAGATTTATATTTAGTTATTGAAGAAAAAGTGAGCAGAAAGATGAGTTTGTAACTAAAGTTTCTCAGGAAGAAAACTTACAAGCAGAAACATTTGAATAAGATATTTATCGAAGGAAAATTAGAACTTCCTCTTGATAAATATCGCACTGCCGCTGTGTGCTAAAGGTAATCCATTCTCGTTTGCTTACCAAATTGTAAATAAATGCTTTCAAAGGAATAACATACTAATGCTACTTTAGGTAAAAACACATTGATGAGAATAAGATTCAAGAATTTTGAAATCTAAAGACGAAAAAGTCACAAAATTCCACTCCATTTATCTTTGGTTTCAAAGATCCATTGGGAGGACCTTCTCTGGAGACTTTGATATTATTCGCGGACACGAACGTGAAAGCTCTCATCGGTCAGTAGATTTTGGAAAATATTCTAATATTAAGAACAAAATTCTTAAAATTAGAATTTAATCAAATTAATAAAACAGTTTTCTAATGATTAAGGTCTTTCTCTTACAGAACATATTCTTCGAAAATCGAAAATCATGGAATATGACGATTCATTAGAATTCAAGATTCGAGAAAATTGACAAAAGAACTTTGTAACAAGAACAAGAATATTACTAAAGACAAAAATTTGATAATAATGACAAAAGTGAAGATGAACTTGTTTCAATGATATTTGATCCAACTTGTTTCAGTTAAAATTGATATATATCACAATAAATTTATATTCTTTCGAATTTTCATTCATAAATTTTCGACTTTATTTTCATTTTAAGAAAAAAATCTAATTTTATGAATCGGAACGCATCCAACAGCTTCCGACCCAAATGGAGTCGGTTTGGATTTTAAGTTTTTCCGACTCCATTTGGAGTCGGAACTGTTGATTGGGTCTGATTAAACGATACATTTTGAATACCTCCATCCTTCTCATAAATTGAGCACCTCGTTGAGTATAATACTGCCCCAGCTAAGGAAAGTTTCACAATTCCATCATCAATGATTTTTTGGTTATAATATGATTCCTTTGAGAGTTCAGACAAAAAAGGTCTTACAGTCTTTTTCGTTTGGTAGGAACCTTTTTTCCATTGATAGGAACCTTTTCTCAAATGTTAGGATCCCGAAGTTAAGCCGGTTTAGAAAGATAATCCAATCAATGCAAATCGCAACCTTTTTTCATTTGCGAGGAACCTTTTTGCTAAAGACCGAAACTTTGTGATTTTCGAACAAATTTTTTTCTTGTCTTGCTAATGTCACTAATACAGAAAAGTTCCTAATTTAAGAGAAAAAGTTTCTGTCAATTGGCAAAAGGTTTCTTTAAACGGCCGTCGAAAGGATTAGTCTAATCTGGTTAAAGTCGAGTTTCTATCGTGAGAAAAAAGGTTCCTAGTGATGGAGAAAAGGTTCCTACCAAACGAAAAAGACTGTATCACACAAATACATTATCTTAAATCATCGGATTGTTTCATGATATTTGGATTATAAATTTATTAGAAAATCATTATTTGTGAGCAGCGTTCTGTTAAACTCGTAGATATAACAGAATTCAGCATTGAGATTAACATTTATTTACTTAATACCTCAATTTCATCTAGTGATTAATTTGTATTAATTCAATTATAGCAGCTTTCAGATTCCAGACAGAATGTTAAGCAACAAGTTAACAAAGAAAACAATTAATGTTTATCAGAAACATTATCGTGGGAATGAATAATTAGCTTTCAATTGAGTTGAAATTACCATCAATCTGAATGAATTATGAAGAAAAGATCATGAAAACTGTTCAGAGTTCTCATACAATTAGAGCACATTCATCTAGAAAGGTATGGAAAAAATTCATTACAATTAACATTTCAATCAGTGTTTGTACTATTACATGAATGTTCATAATTATAACGATAAAGATTTAACCTTAACCATGTTACCCTGAGCTCGTTGGCTCAAAGTGTTTCCAACATAAATTAACAATCAGTGGAAATAAATGATCGAAAAAAATTAGTAATTGGTTTACTTTCTATCCGAAGAGCTGAGATTCATGATAGAATGAACTTTTTTCGTAGTTTTTATCTCTTCATCATTATTTTACCTCCAATCCAATTACCAAATCCAATTGAATATTGTGCATGTTGAAAGTTCAAACGATAGATTCTGAATTGAAACTAAACTAAATCAACGTTTAATGTTGTCTCTTTTGAACCTTTTTCTCTGTAAATCATTTCAATTTAAATGAATGAATAATATTTATCTTTAATCACGAGGAAAAAAAGATAGCCCGATGAAATTGTTATTGAATAATGATAATCATAAAATCAAAAAGAAAAAATTTCTCGTGTAATCACGATTTTTTCCTCCTGATAAAAGCATGAAAAGTTCTGATTTCTGAAAGTTTTCATCTTTTCAATTTCAATTATGATTTTCTAATGACTGAATGAATAATAAAATTCTCAATTCTCAAAGATTCGTGTAAACATTTACATCATCAATTCAATTGGTATGATGATTGGTGAGTAGAAGGAGAAAAAGTTTATCATGAATAAAATCATATCTATTATTTTACTATTCTCCAAGTTGAGAATTTTTTTCTTATGCCTTGAAGCATTCATATTTTTCTTATCAAGTTTTCTGATTTGATTCATTCACAATTTACTTGTTTTCATTAAGAAAATTAAATTATTCATCATGGTTTGAATTCATTTGCATGATAAATCTTCAATTTCGACTTATAATCATTTTTCTTACAATTCGTTTATACCATAATCTTTCTGTCGTCATGATATGAGTTCATTTACTATAATGAAAGTTCATGAAGATCATTAGATTGATGATCAAAATTTGACAGTAAAGTTCAGTAAACTTATCATTCAATCTCAAACCCTAAAATTTGCTCATAGATTGAAATCGTTGATGAATTTACATAGCAATTTATGCAGAAACGAAAGTGAAAAAAAAGTTTCAGCAACAGTTTTTATTATGAGAAGCTTCTTTGCCAACTGTTCATGATAATTTTATGATGACAATAAATGTTGTCGAAAGTTGTTTCAAGTGTTCATTATAAGAAATTCATGGTTTGCATGGTTAATCAATTGAAATCAAATACAACAACTTTCTCAATACATAAGAATTAACTTTTGAACATGAAGCATATCATGAGCAAAGTCTGTTTAAGAACTTTTTGTAATTCTATTTTCTGTTTTTTCGTCGTTTGGTTTGTCCTTCAATTCCCTTAGAAAGATATATTTTTTTCGATTCGCTATTTCTTGCATTTAAAGACTCTGAGAAACATTTTATTACGATTTATTAGACTACTTAGTTGAATAACCCTTCTAGTTGGAATAATAAAATTCAGAGTTACCCTGATAGATGAACTTTGAATTCCATGTACTCATGTACTGAGAAAAAAATGATTCGCCACCTTTAAAACTTTATCTCGAACTTATCATTAAACTATTAAATTCCAGTCTATTCAAAGAAAAATAGAAAGTTATGAGTAAACTTTTTAATACTTATCCAAAGTTGATGATGTAAAAAAGTTCAGATTTTCCATATCGGGAATGTCAAGATTCTCAGAGTTTCATGGTATCATGTTTAATATTTCATATTGAAAAGCAGAATTCTCTATTCCCTCATCATGATACCATCAAATACATGAATTCTCATTGAACAAAAGATTCATTATCATGAAAAAGATAATGAGATAAATTGGAAAGTGTTTATCATGACGTATAATTGGAAATTCAGTTTACATAGATAATTATAGTGATGATAAAAAAAGGATAGGATGATGATAAATGAAATGATAATAATGATAACGATTTAATAATCATGTACCTTGAATATTTGCCTCCCTGATGAATGATAGATTTTTCATCCATTTCCAGTTGATGAATGAATGTTGAAATGTCAATGAAAGGAGAGAAAAAAAGTTACATGGTAAAAGTTCTGATTCTTTTTGTGAATTGTAGCAATCACATAGTAAATCATGTGTATACACTTTATTCCTATTTTCATCTGAAATCATCATGACAGCTCCGGAAGCTCAATTAATCGTTCCCATTGAGTTATTACAATAATTTCCTTGAATATCATTTATAAGTAAATAAATGCAATAGAAAAATGTTTCATCATCTCTCATAAACCGTTACCTTAATCCTTTGCTGGCCCAATGCTCATGAAAGATTTTAATTACTATCATTAATACATGATAATCTAGAGATTATATACTTATCCTAAGTGATAATAATGATGATATTTATCGTCGTCATTTTTCATCATTTACCTGTTATTGTTTTTCCTTCTTAATCTACATTATCTCCCTTTAATGAGAACAGAATCATTTTCAAAAGATTGTAGTTCTCAATATATTTGGTTTGCTTGTATTTCATCATATTAATAAATATAATATTTTCTCTCTCTCTCTCTCTCTCTCTCTAGATCTAATAAATCCCAGGTAAAGTTGTCATCAGAAAGATAGAAATGTTATCATTAAAAGAGATGATGAAAAAGTGAAGATAAATGAAGGAGACAAAGATGATAATGATATAAACACATGAATGAGTAAAACATTTTCATCTTCAATATTTACATTGCTTAGTGAAGAATAGGTAAGGATACAAAGAGTAAAAGAAGGGAAGATGAAAAAGAAAAAAAGATTCCAAGTATAAAAAGAATACTCAACAGATTATCTTCCGTTATCAACTATTATCTTCCCTTGGTGATAAACTATCATTATTAATATTTCTTTTATTACTTTCATCTTCCGTCTTTCTTCATGTTCTTTACTCTTTATCATCTAACCGATAATTCAATCAATATTATTATCACACTGAATTGGCCCAATGATGGAATCAGTGAAGATAAATAATCTCTCTCTCTCTCTCTCTCTCTCTCTCTCTCTCTCTCTCTCTCTCTCTCTCTCTCTCTCTCTCTCTCTCTCTCTCTCTCTCTCTCTCTCTCTCTCTATAATTTATCGTCTTCAGGTAAATATCATGAATAATTTTCACCCGGTTAATATTTCTGTCACATTAATCAGGTTCATGATCATATGTCTCCTCTATCATGCAATTCCTTGACACTGAACAAGCGATGTACGTATCCAGAAATGATGATGAATTTGGTTTTTTCCTCATTATATTGACAAACCTTAAGGTTTTGTTTCCTGCTTACAGATTATCCTTTTTAAGCTCATTACCGCTTTGAATTATCATAACTATTGTTGTTTTTTTGCTTTACTATTTGTTATCAGTTAGTGTCATCATTATGAGGTGAAATTAATTAGAGTAGTAGTTACTTAGCTGATAAGTTGATGAATTGGTTTTGACTATTCATTGAATTATCATCATTAACCCTTGATACTCATTAGAAATGATTAGTATTGACAGAGAGAGAGAGAGAGAGAGAGAGAGAGAGAGAGAGAGAGAGAGAGAGAAGAGAGAGAGAGAGAGAGAGAGAGAGAGAGAGAGAGAGAGAGATAATGATGATGATGACAAGATTAATCTTGTTTATCAATAAAAGGACATAATGATAATCCTACTCAATGATTAGTCAAATACTTTCGCATTGAATATTTAATCAGATGAGATAAATGCTAATCAATTGAACACTTTTTTTCCTATGTAAATATATTCATAGTAAAATTGATGATCGTAATTGTTGATAATCTTTTTAACCATTTGCTTAATCTAATTGCAATCAGTTTATTTATGTTGTGCAATAGGTGCAAAAGTTTACTGATTATTTTTTTTCTCCAAGGTAAACAATTTAACTTTCATGTGCTAAATTATAACTGTAACAATTAATTGTTACACTTTTCTCCCGACTAATAATAGACTTGAGTTTTAACATTTGGTTTACATCCGATGATTAATTGATTACATAAAAAAGTTTTAATGGTCAAAAGTGCCTTAAGGCAGATGTAACATTGGGATGGATCTCATTTCTTATCAGATTAAGACAACCACCTCAATTGGGATTTTCTTGTAAACGCCAAAACAACAATCAAATCAACTTGGAAACAATTAACCACTAATCTTATATAATCAACTAATTGATCGATATTTTATCAGATTTAATTAGTTTTCCATTCATAACTTTATCGATTCATTGGATAATAGAATTTTTTTATATTCTTTCCAATTTCTGTAAACAACAAAAGCATAATTCTCTTGAACTTTTGTTCCCATGGTAAGAAACTGAATTCAATGTAGGTAAGTTCATTTTGAGAATGAATTTCTCTTCTCAAATAAGAATCAAATTTCAATTAAAATGATTTTTTTCTACAAAACAAAAAACATTGTATTCGTTTAATTAGATTGATGGAAGGAGAAAACTTTAGAATAACGATTAGATTCACATTTGTAATTCTCTAAAATGGACGAAAATTTTCTAATAGCAATTTAATTGATACAAATTTGGAGTTGAAATTTACCAAAATTCTCAAGAACTTGGAATAGGCTGAAAATAGACAATAAACAACAATATCTTATCCATTAGATGAAGAATTGTGTCTCGTAAATGTAACAAAATGAAAGTGAAAAGTTCAATCTTTAATTTGGAATTCGTTCAAGTGAAAGATAACATTGTCATTAGAAGAAGAAGTATTCGCTCAGTGTTATCATCAGTTGAATGATTAGATAGGTGGTAAAAGGTAAGATGATGATGAAACATCAACAGGAAGATGATGATATTTTCTTTTGCGATTAGTTGTAAACAATGTTGATAAAATTGTATCTGTTTTTGGCAAGTCAATTGAAGTGTATGATAAGTTTCAGAAACAGAGAATGAGGAAAAGTTTCAATATTTGTCTCAGGTGATTCTTGACTATAATCAGGTAAAATCCCAGAAATTTAGGTGAAAAGTTCAGAAAGGATTAGAAAAAGACATAGAATTGATTCACTTTACAAGGCTTAAGCACAGAAAAAGTGTAATCATTTTTATTTCTCTCTCTCTCTTTCTGTTATGCTAAGAGTGGAAAACCCTCCAGGCAATAATTTGAAAAAGAATGGGAAAAGTAAGCAAGATGAAGTTTCATCTCCATCTTCATCATGAGTGGAAGATAAAAAGTGAAAATCAAAACTATACCTGGAAAAAAACTCATCTCATCGATTGAACTTTCCTGACATTCAACATGATAGTAATTTTCTGCAGTTGTTTCTGTTTCAACCCTGAAACTTTTCCAGTGAAAAACATCATGGGCTCAGTTGCAGTAGATTATAATCTTACTCTTAATCTCAAATAATTATTATAAATCGTTTTTTCCCTAAAACCAAAATAATCATTAATTTCACGCGAATCAATATTTTCATCATTATCAGGGTGATTTTCGCTTCTATATTTGAACAATTACTGAATAGGTGAAGATAAAAGGTTATAAAGCACTGAGATTAAACTGAGACAAAATTTCTGGTGTGAATACATTGAGAGAAATTTCTGACAAAATGAATTAACGAAGAATTTTTTTCTCCTATTTTTAGTATTGTGAGAGAAATACTTTTTTTTCTCCATCTTTGACAACATTTCAAAGATGAAAACTCAACTTCTCTTCATGATAGCTGCTTCTTCTTTCATCTCATTCTGAATGAAATTTTTCAGGATGAAAACTCAGCAAGAATAGTTGACAATATTATCTAACTGCTGTTGCTTATGAAATCAATCTTATCCAAATACAGAGATAAATACCAGTTCATCTGTTATCATGGCCATTCTGTTTATTTAGGATAAGATAACTGAATTTTTTCTCTATTTACTGCTTGAATGTTGATTCAATTTGCAACAAATTTATCGATAATAATAAATCACAATTGTGAGTAATTAAAGTGATCCCATTAAGCGTTAGATGTTGGTTATCTTGGGATTTTTTACTTCAACTAATCATCTCTGAATGCTCTTCAAGTGATAGTATTTTGTTGATTGGTAGTGAAAAAATTCAGGCTGGATATTTACCTTGTATTCTTGCTCAGAACTTCACTCTCTCTCTCTCTCTCTCTTGGTCTATTTTATTCAGTTCAGAACTCACCTCTCAACAGCAAAGGTCAGTTTTGCAATTAGTTTAATTGGATGGAAAGTCAGAAAAAGTAAGAAAACCAAAAGAGAAAAAGAGAGACAAAAAAGTCATTTGATATTTCGAGGAAGTGAAAAACGAATCTTGAGCTGGAACAATTATGAAGACAAAAAGAGTTTAGTCTAGTCTAGAATCAATTCAGAACTTTTGATAGATATTCCTTTTTTCCTTCATTGGGTGTGACTTATTTGATGGTCAGATTTGATTCGGTTTCTCAGATATTCTCAAGTTGTTCAAAAGAATATTGATATTCATGCATATACCAATCTGATAACATGAATCAATATTCAGATAGAGTATGAATGAGAATAATCTTTTGAAAACAATAACATCGAAAAGAATTGAAACTGTTTTGATTGATAAGAAGCCTCAGGCTATTGGAAAAAAATTCACTGATTTCACTCAAGCTTTTGTCTTTTTCATGGCGATACACAAATCTCTGAATTTAAAGTAAACAATTTTTTCCTTGCCATTCTTCATTCGTATTCAATATTTAATCATGATTAGCAGACCTTATTTACTCTGTATGATTTTCAATGGATGTAAATTTATTCCTCCATGTGACAAAATGTTGAAATATCAAATTCACTTGACAAAAAGATCTGATGATGAACTGTGATGTTAAAAAATAAAATGGAATCAGTAACTCATCTGATTTAATTGAGATGTAATCTTGCTCTTCTATCAAAAAATGGCTGAATTATCAATATAATATTATAATTGTTTTCAAAGACTCCAAGAGGAAAAATATTCCAATACAATCTAAAGTTACTGAGAAAAGTTCTTAACAATTTTTCTCATCTTTTTAGATCGAATTACTTAATTTGCTTACCGTTTATTATAATTCAATCATATGGATCAAGGTAATTTCTCAGAATCTTGACTCTCTTGCAATGATTAAGTATTCCGCTAAAAATAATTCCTATTAACGTTTAAAACTAAATTGTTGTACAATTATTATAATGAATTGTAAAGCTAAAGGTGACATAGATATTAATTTGGGTGGGTCGTTGAACAATCAAAATTAAAATGAAAAAAAAAGTATGAATCAAGTCAATTGATGATATCAGTTAATGACTATCATGGTAATGATCAATATAATCATCGAGTTGAATGAACTTTGTTTGTCTTAAATAATGAATATTTCCAAGAGAAGATATAATTTTCACTTTATCATGAGAAATTTTCATTTATAATGATTATCATCATCATCATCATCTTATAAAACCTAAACCACAGCAAAAATATTATCTCTATTATCATGATAATAATTACATCATGAGCCTCTTCATGAGAGATAATAGTTTTATCATTATTGGTTTATCAGTTTCTTGAAATTCTTGTAAACCTTTTTTACTCAATTTCTTATCATAATAACAGGATATAATTATGTAAATGATTCTGACTGAATTTTAAGTTAACTCATGGTGATAATCAAGATTATATTTTTTTTCTTGTTGTTCCAGAATTTCCTTGTAAAGATAATCAAAGTCTTTTAATGTTATGAAATTTTCTCTCACTAATTTCACTTTAAACTGCATTTTCATTGCTTATCCCATGATGATGTTTACAAGTTACATGATTGAACTTTAAGTTGATTTTATCTATCAACTCATAACATGATAATCATGAAGGATAATAGTGAATACTAATGAGCTTTTTTGAAGAAAATGTTTATAACAAAATTTTCATTTTCTATTTTTATCATGTAACGTATTTTCCTTCAGAGTAACTACTCAGTCGGGACTCATGAACAATTGAAACTTTATTATCATTTTCAAAATGAAGGAGAACTCAATTTTATATGAGTTTCTATGAGTAAATAAATATTATTATCATTCTCTCAGTGTGTTATCATGTCTTGAAAGGGTCTCTGCTCACTAGAGTTTAATTATTAATCATATTGGAACATGATTTACATACTGAGAACTGTAATCTATTTGTTACTATGAAAGTTCAGTAATAATAAATTTCTTACTCAAAAACTGATAATATTTTTATGTAAAAATAATAATAATAATTTAGTTTCCAAAGTAAACAAGAAACTTTGATCCATTGAATATCGAAATTTTCAAAGAAAAATTGAGACTTTCGTGTTCTCTGGTGAGGTTTATCGAAATCACGAATATCTTTCATGATATTTAATTCGAAAGAATTTTTGAAAAGTTCTGTTGTTTGTCGTATCGAAATTTGCTTGTGAATATTTTGAGAGATAGAAAACTATCCATAAGTTAATCATGTCTTCAGGTTAATTATGGGTTAGATTCCAGGTTAATTGGTTAATGCTCGGTTAATCGAGATGAAACAAATTCAATTCTGTAGTTGAACTGAACAACAATAGATGTCAGCAGGAGAAACGTTCCATAGCTTTGGTTGTATGTATATAAAAGATACAATAACAGAATTTGTAATGAACAAGTATTACCTTTCTTTTAGTCTTTCTTTTTCCTCTTCTCTGTTTATCATCATGTTTCATGCTTCTCAACATCTTCATCATCATATCACCAAGACCTCTGGTGTTTAGATTTGTTGAAATGTTATTTTTTTCTGTTGCATTTTTGAACATTCTCAGTGTTGAACAATAATATTAAATGAACAACTTAATCTTAGTTTTACACCGAGAGAGATTCGTTAAAAGTTACATGCTCGTCTAGTGAAACAAACATGAATATCTAAAGTGAGCTCACTATGATTTATCATCCGAATTCAACATTTTCCTTATCAATTTTTGAGAAATAAACTTTTTCTTGATAATAACAAACTCAATGTTCACCTGAACATATAAAACTTTGATTCGAATCAATTATCGAACTGACTAGAGTTCAATTTGTGTTTTAATTGTTCTCTTTTTCTCTCTTACCTGTGATTTAATTCACTGAACAATAAGTGAATATTTATATTTGTGATATTCTTTTTCCTTATTTTCTCTGATACCGAAAGATGAAAAAAGTTCTGGAAAATTGGAAAATAATATTGACAGTTTACAATCTTTTTAAATTGTGCCCTCACTGCTAATTGTTGAAATTGTGATTTAAAACTGAGAATAAGCAAAATTGGAATATGATTATTATCAAATTGTTATCGATTTCTTTTTCGTCATTAATGGTTGAAGAAAAAAAGAGATGAAGATGATCAAATTAAAGAAAAGGATAAGAGTTGACAAAGAAAATGTTATCCTGACAATTTCTGTGAATTAAAATCTATTGTTTATCATTCGATATCTATGTGTGTCTCTTTATATGTTTATGTGACCTCATTTATCTTATTATATCATTAATCTTATCATCTTTATCATTTTCATCATCATCATCTCCTTATTATTATTATTATATATCTGATAAGTCAATTGTTGTTATCATTATATTGATATGATTATTATTATCATTACTATTGTTAAGTGTCAACTCGTTGGGTAGGGATAAGGTTTGGACAGGCTTTTAACAAGGCTGTTCAATCCTCCCCCTTAATCATCATCAAGATCACCTCTTTTACCATATCATCCATCATGCAACGGATTAAGGATAGTTTACGTAAAACATCATCACGTGACTCCTTAGATTCAACCTCTTCGACAACATCACTCGAACCAAAAGATCAACAAGTGCCAAGCTCACCAGCAAAGAGTCAATATCAATCTCACCAACATCATCATCATTTACTTCGTGCACCCTCATCACCGACTCCAAGTTGCTCGGGATCATTTTCTAGTGCCAATTCTAGTCATTCAAGGCCTAAACCTGGATCATTAGGTCCAGGTTTAGGTTTAGGTTCTAGTCTTGGTTCCAGGTTGGGCCATGTTAGCTCATCGTCGACTTTATCCTTACTCTCTGATCGTCGAGATGAGGTTACTTTTGAAACAGTTCGAATTGTCCCTCGAAGTGCTCGAAGTGAAGAGATAACAACAACTCCTGAATCAGATGAATCTTTAACTCCAAGTTACAATTTTCCTTCCACTTCATTTTCCTCTTCCTCTCCTTCTTGCCTCCACCAAACAGCAACAGCCCCAACACAACCATCCCCACCACCACCGCCAACAACAACAATAATAGCTACTACAGCATCCAACAAAGAGGTTGGAGGATCTCAAGGTACCTATGGATCATCACCAGTTCACCTTTCACCTAATATGCAACCTTGTGGTTCGCCCTCATTACAAGCTAATCAATTTCTGTCAACCAATTCTCCAAACCGATCAGGTCGATCTCGTTCATTTGATTCGGCTGCCGCTTCAGCTGCAGCATCAGGATCAAATGATGGATCGACTAACCGTTCAGGCAAAACTTACATTAAAACAACATCAACTTTCCTTGAACTTCCCAAATGGAAGATGCTAGTTCGTAATAAGAATTCATCTTCATCATCTACATCAGTTGCTCCCTATGAGCGAGATTGTGTTCATTGCATGTTAATGCACGAAATTAGTAAAGTCTCAACACTCACCGTACCCTCTGTATCCACACCTTATATTGGTTCAAGTAGTTATGGTAGCATGTTGAGTGATAACATTTCAACCTCATGTTCACCTCCACCCTCATCATCACCTTCAGTAAGTTCTGAGGGTTCAGTAGTTGAAGATTCAGATTCCGAGTCAATGGGATTAAGAACTGCTTCCCTTGGACAAAGTGAATCACTTGAAGATGAAGTTTTATCTGAGATACTTGACCCTGCAAATCTGCCGACCGTTACTTTGAGCTTGGCACCGGAAATTCAAATAATTGAAACGGAAGAAGATTCTGGTTTAACTGTTATCTCTTTAGAGGTTCCAGTCCTTCCAAAATCAGGTAGATCAGCATCAGTTGATTCTTCATATCTTCAAGTACCACAAAGGACCGATATTGGAATCGGAGAATCACCACCAGTTAAAGCTCAGCGATCACGATCAGTAGATGTCGCACTTCCAGTTGGTCCTGATGGACCTTACATTGTAGTTCCAACGGAAAAACCTCAGCCCATTATTACACAGTAAGAGAACTTGAAATATTCCTAAGAAAAACTATTTTCTCAAACGTGAGCAGAACACGAACACACAATTAACTCGGAATTTCATGATAATTGATTCTAAATGAAAGCTTTTTGTCTTTACAATTGTCTCTTTTTACCTTTGTTTTTGAATAATTTCGCTTCGTCAATGGAAAACTAGTTGACAAAAAAAAACAATGTTCTTTTCTTGTGTATCAAACTCAATCTTATTTTTTGCCTAGTTAAGCAAAGAATTACTCAGCATCATCATTATCTACAAGGAAGATAATGATGAATCTAATAAACCATAGTAACGTTAATGATAACTTATTGAATCCATGGGAGAAAATAAGAAAGTATAAAAAAAAAGTTCTATCATAAACAAAACTAGGATTCTTTTTCTTTCTGATCCACAACTTAATGAGATATTCACCAGGAAAACAGGATGATAACCTCACAGACTGAGGGTGGGGCTCATTTTTTAGCTCAGCAAAACTTGAAACAAACCTTAAGATGCAATCATGATAATGAGCATGTTGATGTTAACCATGATTGAAGCAAAATCGTATCTGTATGAACAGAAAATGAACTCTAAGCCCAATAGATGATCTCTCTCTCTCTCTCTCTCTCTCTCTCTCTCTCTCTCTCTCTCTGATCCAAATAGTTCTAATAATTTCTACCTAATCACTCAATCAAATTTGATTAGATTAATTATCGTTGCAAGCTCAATACCCCCGATAAGTCAATCTATCATCATGGATGTTTAACTTCTCTCTGGGTGATATTGAATTTTTCCACTTGATTGTCAACTCATCGGAAAAAAATATCAGTCAATATTTTGTATATTCTCAATATTTTGGAATCACCTTGGAATAATCAACCATGGTGAATGTACATATAATTATTACTAATGTGGAGGAAAAAATCTATTCTTTCTAAATTAGATATATATCATTTTTCTAGAAAAATATTCTCATCATAATTTATTCAATTTCATCATGTTAATTAATCAGTGTAAAAGTTGCGAATAAACCATTAGATTCATTTAAAAACAATCTAAACAATTTTCTCTAATTACTACTCATGGAAACAATTGATTCTTTCAAATGTTCCCATGAGATATAATCTAGTTTTCGATATCATTTGCTGAGAGATTCAACTTCAATCGACAACTCATCCAACTGATTAGAGTTTAATCATAAAACAATCAATTTGAAAACAGTGAAAAGAATTAGATTAGCCAATTAGATTAAAGGAGAAATGAAAACTAAATTCCTGAAAACTAATCTAATCTTGATATTGGATTACAAAGAAACGATTACTTGAACTTAATGTTGAGATAATCATAATCTCCAATCTGTTCACCTTGGTAATTAGTTTTGATAGTAAATATTAACCCTGAAATTGATAAGATTATTTCTCGAAAAGATGAGATTTGATTAGTTGACTAGTAATATTTTTCCACCATGAACCCTGAATGGTTACAGAAAATTTCATGTAATCTCATTTTTTTTCATCATGTTTACCTCGATAATGATGGAAGGCTCATTTCCATCAATCTTACTCAATGTTTCATCATTGTACCATCAATTTCAAGCAGAATTTTATCTCCTCCATGCATGAGGTTTTTTCTCCAATAACCTTCTCTACAGTTGCATGATATATCATGAGTTCTGAATACAGATTATCCTGGATAACATTTTCTCGATGGAGCAGTTAAATTTCTCAATTTTCAATATTTTCAGGGTGATTTAAGATGGTGCATGTTAATCTTACAAATTTATTTTTCAGACATCAACAGGTCATCAGAACTTAAGACTCAGAAAAGTTGAGCTACTCATGCGAGTATTTAGTAATTTTGTTTTGTTACAATAGAAAAAGTTGATTGTTAAAGTGACAAAACTGAAACTCGACTCAAGTCTAGTTCCTGAATCAGAATCCTTAGAATTTCAAGATTTATTTCTTTGTTCGAAAAGTTAGATATAGTTGAATATAAAGAATAGCAAACACTTTGAACTGAATAATGATTAACATCTAATGGAGAAAAATGAAAAAAATTGAGAGAAAACTTTTTATTTTGCTCTTCACAAACTCATTCTGAAAGTTCTGATGTTCCATGCAAGTTTAACTCGATTGCATGTAGAATTTTATAAAGCCCAAAGAGAGGTTAAAATAAATAGAATGAGAAAAAAATTCGTTTTTTAATCAATTGAAAATAATCGCTTCTCTGTTAAGGCGATTATCTATTCCAAGCTTTCTGATCAAATGAGCCATCATGTTGATCTTTTAGAATCACAACTCAAATAATATCATGATTACGAGGCTTAGCTTGTTCACTCAAGTTCCAACTGAATTCGCGAAACCAAAAGATTATATGAAAATGAATGAAATACATAAAGAGAAAAAAAAGTTGATCTAATAATCAGATTTCATGAAACTTTACCTTCTCCCCTGTTCTTATGAAATATATTTACCATAATTTCTGTGCCAATCAGAGTTTATCTTTACTTCCTGAGCGTGATACTAAAGTAGAGATAAGATATTGAACTTCCTGCTTTCTGGAAAATGATAATATCATTTCCTCAATTTGATAAACATTCATAGTTCTGGAGCTTCGATAATAATGATCTAGTTTTCATGACTTAAGCTCAGATAAAAAAAGTTCTGACTGCACAATATTGAAATTGTAAGAAAAAAAAAGTTCAATGATGTATCAATTTCTAATGGTGAATCATGTCGATGATAATTAAGATTGAAGATTTGAAAAGGATTCCTACTATCATGATAATCTCCGTTCTTGATTATTGTTCGAATCCTTTTTAGTAACAAAGGGAATCGAAAAGATAAAATTAACTTTTTTTCCTCATTATTATCTTGATCCATGTCTAAAGAATCTTTGGAACTTTTTTCTTTTCCATGAATCATCTTTTATCATCTTCTTTCTTTTTCTTATTGTCATCATCATAATCTTCATTCTCTATCCGTTCTTCCATGATGTTTGCTGTTATCATGTTAGGATTTAGTTGATTTGAGAATCTGAAGCAAATAAAGTATAAACAAATTTCCAGGCTGCTGGTTGTTCAGAAAAAGTTGAACGGAGCTCATGTAAGAACAAAATTCATTAAAGTTCAGTGTTTCAAGTTTATCATAATAATAAATGCGAATATCAATTGTTATTTACTCAACTTGAACTTGTAATTTTTTCTCATATAAAATTACAAGATGAATTTGTAAAAAAAATGTTGATTCAATTGCATCACCAAATTAGGTCAAACTATTAGAACATTATTATCGATTCGATTCACCTTGTTTTCTTATTACAATCAATTCTGTTCGTTGACCAATTACCTTTTCCATAGTTACATTTTCACTCAGGTGATTTAATTTTTTTCTCTCATGGATTTCATGAGCTTTTTTCTCATCATCAGAATTTTCATCAATTTCCCTCTTATTATCGTCTTCTCTCATCTTGAGAATCTTCTACCCGCTCCCCATGAAAGAAGCTATTCTCAACTTCATTCTCATTTTTTCATCATAGAATTTGATTCCTGGAATCTTCAAGGTTCTGCGCTACCATGGTGTAAGCTAACTATCTTTTTTACCTCTTCCATGATAGTAAAAGAAGAAGAAGAAGAAGAGAAAAACATTCAAGAGATACTTATGGAAGATAGAATCTTGAGAAATCTTCAATTCTATCAATATTGCCGTAAGGATTGAAAGATGAAGAAAAAAGTGAATGATGAAAAAAAGTCGACAAAAAAGAAGATGATAAAGGAAGAGCAATATTCCATAGGTTATTCTGATCTTGGGTTAGAATGGAGAAACAAATTGATTACTTTTATTCAGGTAAACAGCTTAAATTCATATTTGTGGTTATCTACCTTGAATTAAACAACCTTATCGATTCAGAATTTAAACATTTACATGATATCTTATCATCATCTTTTATCAAGATCATCACTTAATCTAATATCATCAAGATATTTATAGTAAGTGAGATAGGGGGAAAATGTGATAATCTTTTCTCAATATCAATACAAATTGAAAGATTCAAAATAATCTAGGTAATGGAAAACTGAGAAAATCAAAGTTTAGAATTGAGGAAATTGAAGTGAAAATTATAATAATCAATTTCATAATTGGAATGAGAATTCAGAACATTCTGTAGCATGAATAATAGATAATTTGAAAATCTAAACACAATTGAACATTAATTAAACTAATGAATACTAACTCATAGTCTAAATATGATCATTATCATTTCAAATTGTGTCATAAATGCTGGAAGATTATTGTTCAAGGTGATTATTTCATTGGGGAAAATTGTTCAGTTTCTTTTTGTGGGAATTGAATTTCCTCTCGAAAAAAGGTGTTCCATGTTTTCTGTAATTAAAATAATTGTTTCTGATCAATTATCATGAGAATGGATACAAACTGAAACATGGAAAACATTTACATCTACTGATAGAAAAGCCGAGCTAAAAATTTTCTCTCAATATTCTGTGACAAATTGTAAATACTGAATAATAATACTTGGGTTAGAACCTATTTTCACTCATCATGCTGACTTCGAAATTGTGTCAATCATTTCGAGAAATTTTCATTTGGGTTCACTCTTTGTTCTCTCACAGATATTATCATGGTGACAAGTTTTTTCACCGTGAAATGATAACAAGATATTCAATTGTCTTGTAATTCAATTTTTCTAGTAACCGATGACAATATAATGAGAGAGAGAGATGGAGAAAAAGTTCTGTCGAAATTTTTACAACCATGATGAGAGTATTCAAAAAAGAAGCGTTAATGAAGGTGAAATTACATGTATATTTGTATATCCATACATGGTAAATGTGAGAGAGTGGAATGAAATTCCGCCTCTTTCGTTGAGTCTTCAGGGTTATTTCACGGGAAGAAAATTCAGCCAAGATTAATGATGATTCTGATATAGTTTTTGATGAAAAATCTTTTGAAATTGTTATTCTTTGAGAAAAAAAAGAAAGAGA